GAAGTAATGTGGAAACTTATAAGATATTACAAATGAGATTCAGGTGTACTGGCACATACCTGTAATCCCAGGTATTGAAGAGGCTGAAGAAAGGGTTTCATGAGGTCAGGGACACTTTGAATAACATAATGAGAGATTTCCAAAGAACATAAATGTTGTTACAAAAATTGTTCAAAAGAGAACTCAAAGAGTTTATGTATAGGCAATAAGGGATGTCGAAATCAATGTTCAAATAGAATAGAGGCAAAATGATTCAAGAATTAATTGCATTCCACCAGACAAATCATTTGCATTTCTGTGGACAACACTCATTTGCATTATTATTAGTTTCTTTTTTCAATTTACAGTTAAAAAATATCTCAAAGTCAATGAGAAGTAGAGATAGAAAGTTATTCTTTTTTTTTTTCAAGACAGGGTTTCTCTGTGTAACAGTCCTAGCTCTCTGGAACTCGCTTTGTAGACCTGGCTGGCCTGGAACTCACAGAGATCCACCTGCGTCTGTCTCTCAAGTGCTGGGATTAAAGGCGTGTGCCACCACCACCTGGCACAGAAAGTTATTCTAGAAAGGACATACAGTTAATATTTTTTGGTTAATTTTTAAGTCTCTCATCATTTTTTTTCTTTTTTAATTTTTTTATAATTTAATTTAATTTTACATATCAGCCACAGATTCCCCTGTCCTCCTCCCCACACCTTCCCCCCAGCCCACCCCCCATTCCCATCTCCTCCAAGGCAAAGACTCTCCTGGGGATTCAGTTCAACCTGGTAGATTCAGTCCAGGCAGGTCCAGTCCCCTCCTCCCAGGCTGAGCAAAGTGTCCCAGCGTAGACCCCAGTTCCAAACAGCTAGCTCATGCACTGAGGGCAGGTCCTGGTCCCATTGCCTGGGGGCCTCCCAAACAGTTCAAGCTAATCAACTGTCTCACTTATCCAGAGGGCCTGATCAAGTTGGGGGGCTCCTCAGCTATTGGTTCATAGTTCATGTGTTTCCACTAGTTTGGGTATTTGTCCCTGTGCTTTTTCCAATCTTGGTCTCAACAATTCTCGCCCATACAATCCCTCCTCTTTCTCGCCAATTGGACTCCTGGAGCTCCACCTGGGGCCTGGCCATGGATCTTTGCATCCGCTTCCCTCGGCATCTTCTTATCCCAATGGGAACTGCCATCCAGTTATAATTAGCACAAGTGCTCTCTGTGAGACACATATTATAATATGTGTCTTCCGTGTCTCCAAACCTTGATAAGGGATGGCTGCCTCCCTCCTTTTAGAGAGTTGTTACTCAGAAGTCTAGTATTATTTGAGATATTGCTTAGAAAATTGGCCCCTGACTAGAAATATAACAAATATAAAGGATCCAGGACCTAAGTTAATTAAAAGATATCTATATTTATGCATAGAAACATTAATGTAATGATATCAGTAAAATCCAAATTATCATCTGTACATTTAATGCAATTGACAGCAAAATCTCAGTTGCTTCTTCTGAAAAAGTTGAAATTACCCTAAAAGTCACAAGAAAATTCAACAGACCAAGAATACTAAAACAAAAAGATAGTTGGAAGATTCATACTGTCTTTTTTTTTAATTGCTATAAAACTATAGTAAACAAAATAGTGGTCTAGTGTTTAGACATACCAGGTTTAGAGAATAGAATTGAGAATCCAGAAATATGGTTGATGGCTCCCTCCCCAGGAGGTGATGTGAAATGGTGTTGTGAAAAACTAATTTTTCACATGTTTAAAAAAATGGAACTTGGGGCTCGAGAGATGGCCCAGTGATTCAGGGCATACATAACTCTTGACAAAAGTTTGGTTCCCAGCACTCACATCCAGTGACTCAGAACTTCCTGTAATTTTAGCTCCAGATCTGATGCCCTGTTCTGGTCTCTTTGGGCACGTCCCTCACAAACACACACAAATAAAAATAAATCTTTCTTTTTATAAGCAATGAAATTGCTCCTTAATTTTTATAATATGCAATTCAATATAAATTTGACATTAAGTGTTACTTACAATAGCCCTAGAAGAAAATCTAAGTAGAAATCTCTGTATTTCTGAGTTAGGCAATGATTTCTCAGGACACTAAAAGCACAGATGATGAAAGAAAAATGACATAAATTATACATCAAAATTAAGAAATTTTAGATTTCAAAAGACCACTCAGAAAGTAAAAAGAATAATTCAGCGAATGGGAGAATATACTAGTTAATTAAATGATTGAAAAAGACTTCTATCCATAAATTATACAAAACACTTAGAGCCCAACAAAAAAAAAAAGACAATTCATTTTTAAAAACAGGCAAAGGATTTGAATGAGTATTCCCCCAATGAAGGTTTATAAATATCAAAGAAGGATATAGAGATATTGAACATCACTAGTCACTGGGGAAATGCAAACCAAAACCATAGTGAGTAACCACTTTCCCTCACCAATGTGACTACAGGTTTTGAAGGCTAGTCACAGTGCTGGAATCCTCAAACATTGCTGCTGGGCATGGAAAATGATGCAATCACTTTGGAAAATAATCTAGCAATCTCTCAAAGTCTTTTTTTTTTTTTTTTTTTTTTTTTTTTTTGGTTTTTCGAGACAGGGTTTCTCTGTGTAGCTTTGCGCCTTTCCTGGGACTCACTTGGTAGCCCAGGCTGGCCTTGAACTCACAGAGATCCGCCTGCCTCTGCCTCCCGAGTGCTGGGATTAAAGGCGTGCGCCACCACCACCCGGCTCTCTCAAAGTCTTAAACATAGTTAATCTGTGATCTGACTAGTCCACCCCTGCATGTATCACCAAGAGAATTGGAAATGTACATCTTTTACAGAACTTGTACATAAATGTCCATAACAGCATTAGTCATAATAGTCAGAAAATGAAAACAACCCAGATTTCTATAAACATAAAAAGTATTGATAAAATGCAGTACCGCCCTACAATAGAACATCATTTATCAATGAAAAGGGATAGAGGTTAAAGTCAAGTGAAAGAAACTGTACACAAAAGCTACATATAGTGTGATCCGCTTTATCTAAAATAGCTACAATAAGCACATCTATAGAACAAAAAAGATTAATGGTTGCAGGCCTACAGAAGAGGCAAAATGGGCATTGCCTTTTAATGGAAATGGGACTTAATTTTGGACTGATAAAAACATTCCATTAGTGACTGCCGTTCTGATTGGAGTAAAATGGAATTTTAAGAAAACAAATAACATTCATGACAAGGATGTGGACAAAAAGGGAGTGTAAACTAGTCCAGCCACTTGAAAGCCACTATGGAGGTTCCTAAGAAAACTAAAAAAAAAAAAAAAAAAGGCAAAACAAATAAAAACGCCATATGACCTAGTTATAATACTTTTGGGTATTTACCTGGAGGACTCTAAGTTATCACATCACAGAGATACTTGCATTTCAATGTTTATTGTAGCAGAATTCACAATAGTCAAGTTAGGGAACCATTCTAGGTATCCAGTAACTAAGGAAGAGATAAAGAAAATGTGGTTTATGTACACAATAGAATATTTTTCAGCCATAAAGATTAATGAAGTATTGTTTTTAGGCAAATAGGTACAACTGGGGTTGATCGTTAAGTGAATTAAGGCAGTCTCAGGGAAACAAATATGATATATTTTCTCTTCTTTGTGGTGGCTAGGTTTTAAGGTTTCATATAGATACCTGAGAGTAGAGCAGAAGCTGACCGGGACAGGGGAACAAAGGTGACTAACAGGAGAGGGAAAGAGAAAAAAGGGCACAGTCAGAGCATGGTAGAGGAATATGCTCCATGTACAGTGTATATTGTATGTCCAATTTTTCAATAACTAAAATTGTTAAGTCAAATATACATTTTACAAATTTTAGTCTGATGATTACAGAATACAAGGAATGTAGCAGCCCAGGATGGTATAGAAACAGTCTTCATACTTCAGCTTTTCAAATGCTGGGATTACAGGCCTGCAACACCATAGTGGACTCTAGAACACTTTGGGGTGGTTGTTAAATTTGTTTTATGTTTTTAAATATTTCTTTTTCATTTTTTAAACCATGTGTATGGGGTGGGGGGGTATTTGTATAAGACAGCAGGGGCTTTCCGTGGACACAATTGTCAAATGCCTCTAGAGCTGGAGTTACAGACAGCTGCGAACTGCCTGACTTAATTACGTGCTTGGAGCCAAACTCAGATCCTCTGCAAAAGAAGTATATGTTCTTAATAACTGAGCCATCTCTTTAGCCCATTAATTTTATTTATTTTTTTTATATTTTATTTTATTAGTGTGTGTATGCGTATGCCGGCTGGGGCATGCCACTGCACAAGTGACGCCACAGGACAAATTTTGAGAGCCGTTTCTCTCCTTCTAGCACAAGTTCTGGGAGATGGAACTCCATGCTCTGATTTCTTCGGAAATACCCAGTGTGGCAGCATTGGCGATAAGGCACAGCCACTTGCTCTTGCCGTCTTCCTAAGAAAAGTCACCAGTGTGGACATTGAAGTCACCAGCCCAGGTGACTAAATCTTTAAGATACGAGATAATGTCATCACACTACTTTAATGAAAGTCCCGATTAGGTGATGTTCAAATAACTTCTCCCTTAAAGTTAACTATCCACACAACAACCAACCAACCTGGCTGTTTATTCACAGATTTAAGATACTATGTTGTTAGGATGGTCAGCACAATGCCTTCCCTTCGGTGTTACTGCGAACACAGCACTCTTGCTTTCTTTGTTCCTTGACCTTTGACCTGGTTCCACCGCCTGAGGCACCAACTGCCCGCCATTGCTGGCTCCATCGCTATCTTCCGGGTCCTTGTTTGGGCAGTTGCGGCTCGAGGCGCCGCCTCGGAGTCTGACTGGACAGAGTCAGGAACGTGTACTGCCTGGCTCCTCAGCTCCTCCTCCTTCTCCTAGAGTCCCCGCGAGGCTCCTGAAGCCGCGTCCACTCCGCCAGCTCCACAGCTCGCAACCAGCTGTGTCCTTCTCGCTCCTGCTCGCCAACAGTGAGGCCTCTTGCCGCCATGGCTACTCCTCAGCCCCAGATGGAGCCCGGTTACCTGGCCGAGAGCAACGCTGCCATCAACTCGCAGATCCAGCTGCAGCTGTATGCCGCTTACATCTACCTTTCCATGGCTTTCTTCTGCAATCAAGATGAAGTGGCCCTGGTGAACTTCGCGCTCTACTTCCTTTGCCAGTCCCAGAAGTGGATGCAGAACACCGAGAAGCTATTCCACTTCCTGGTCCAGCGCAATGGCTCCCTCATCCTTGGAAGAATTGCCGATCAAGAACGCCACGACTGGTGCGATGGCCTCATGGCGATGGAGTGTGCCTTCCACCTGGAGAAGACGCTCAACCAGAGCCTCCTGCAGCTGTACCAGCTGGCTAACAGCAAAGGCGATGCCTGCCTCTGCAGCTTCCTGAAGCGCCATTTTCTCCAACAGCAGGTCAAAATCATCAAGGAGATGGGTGGCTACATGACCAACCTGCGCCAGTTGGGGGCTCCAGGAAATCGCCTGGCTGAGCACTTCTTCGACAGGCTCACCCTGGGAGAGAGCATCAAGGAGAACTGAACTGGGACTGTCACTGCTACGGTGGGGTCGTCCTCAGATCACCAGGCAAGGTGCTAACATACTTCCAGAAGTTTCCCTAGTTTTTTTCTGTTTAGCACTGTTTGCAATAAATTTGTTTCTCAGCAGAGTAATCGTTTCCTGTTGACTCATATGTGTAAAACTCGCGCGTTTGAAAAATGATGGATTCCCTTACAGGTCTAAAATGAATATCCAGGTGTGGCTTCACACATCCAAGCCGGGTCTCCTTGCAACTAAGAGCTCAAGTTGGTGGAAGGGAAAGGATATTCACAGGCCCTGGGAAAAGACCAAATTAGCTTTTTCTTATAAACAGTGTGAGCTTGGGAGTGTGTGTGTGGGGTGAGGTATGAGTGAAGTGAAGTGGAGTGATTGGCCTATAGACCTGGTGTCTAAGCATGGGAAACGTGCAAATGCATGGTAAAAGGGTAAGCAGGGGAGTCACATATCAGATACCCTGCATATTAGATATTTACATTATGATTCATAACAGGAGCAAAATTGCAGTTATGTGGTAGTGACGAAAATAATTTTATGGTTGTGGGGTGGGAGAGGGTTGGGGAGAGGAGGGTGTCACCACGACGTGAGGAACTGTATTAAAGGGTCGCAGCATTAGCAAGGTTGAGAACCACTGGATTAAAATAAAGTCAACTTTACCTAAAGCCCATTAAGTTGCTAAAATATTAAAATATTAGCATTTGCTGATTCCAGGTAAGACAGTGAGACCACCTGAAAGACAGCAGAACACTTATAACGTGCTTACCCTGGGAAACAGTGATTCTAGATAAAGAAAACTGGAATGACTTCTTCATAGCCCCGAGGTGAACAAACTGAAAGAACAGTGGAACTTTGCGGGTCCAAGATCTCTCATTTATATCATTATATTCCCATAAGAATCTCAGGAAGTAGGAAGGACGGGAATTTAAAGGGAGGCTACAAGGGAAGTTAATGGAATTGGGACGGGAACATAGTTCTGATCCAGGGTGGTCTTTTCTTGTTACACTGTGGGTATCAACGAGTTAAGAAGGAGCGTGGGGGTAGACTGGGAATTCAGCCAGATAATCAGCCCCAGAAGGGAGGGGAATTCCCCAAACTGTTAAAAGACGGCCCTGATCATTGTAGCCTTTCCCTTAATTACAGGTGTGCCTTCCAGCCTAGGGTAGAGAGGACTTCTAAATGTCAGGCAAAATCCTCATATGATAGAAGCCTACAGAATTAGAAAGAGACTGTGTGAGAGGCAGACGAGTAAGGTGCCACCCTTACTACCCAAGAAGGTAGTCCAGATCTCTGCTCAGGCTCTCTCCCCCAGTGCAGACCAGAACCTGAAATTAAGGGTCGCCTAGGAAGATGAGAGGGTTGGAAATCCCCGGAATGAACTATTACCTAGATTTCTGCACTGGGAGTAGCTTCTCCTTAGGCACAGTAAATAAGGGGTGGCTACTAAACACGTATCTGCTTTACCTGCAGTCCAGGTCATTCCAAAGCCTGAGGAAAGAAGCTCGCATGCTTGCTGGACAGAGTGCATGGGAATTGGTGTACTAAATCATTTTCATTGGGGTCTGGAGCTCACCCCCAACTTGCTCTGTCTTGGATGACAGACCTCCTTCTTTGTCCCATCTATCTCTTTCTTGTGATTGACTTTCCAGAAAAATGAAGAGACACCCATTAAGACCTATACATAGGCTTTGATTTTACCTGGAAAAGTAATATTTCCTCATCTGCAGAACTCAAAAGATATCCATGATTAGACTCCAATGCCCATTACAAGCCACTGTTGGTCCAGTCCCATTTTGCAGCTTGTCTTTTAAAAAATCCCTGACAGGGAAGTCTTGGCACAGTAGCAACTCAATTGTTTCTTTTTAAAAAGTTCATAATTCATTTTTAGTTGTGTGTGTGTGTGTGTGTGTGTGAGAGAGAGAGAGAGAGAGAGAGAGAGAGAGAGAGAGAGAGAGAGAGAGAGAGAGGAGAGAGAGAGAGAAAGGAAAGAAAGAAAGAAAGAAAGAAAGAAAGAAAGAAAGAAAGAAAGAAAGAAAGAAAGAAAGAAAGAAAGAAAGAAAGAAAGAAAGAAAGAAAGAAAGAAGGAAAGGAACTGGGGGTGTTCACAAAAGCCAGAAAGCAGCCTCTGCCCCTCTGAAGCTGGAGCAGCAGATGGTTGTGTGATAACAGACCAGACATGGGTGCCGGGAGGAGACTGGGCCTCTGCGGGAGCCGTGTGCACTCTCCACCACTCAGCAGTCTCTCCAGATTCCAGCCCCGTTGATGATTATCTGGTTTTGCTGAGAGTTAAACACACATTCTAAGTCCCCGCCCTTTGACTTAGTTTGGGCAGTCACAAACAGGCTCTCCAATATGTGAGACAGTAAAGAAAATGGATAGGAAATGTTTAGCCTGGCAAAAGAAGCAGCTCCGTTTTACTTTCTGTTGTCTAGACTTTGGCCTGTACTGACAGCTTCCTTATTTTCCCACCCTGCCACACACCTGACAGAAAGGTAGAGGCACACTTCCTCTAGGTGGGCCACCTTCCCAATTCCTGGATAACTGAACTTCAAATACTTAGTAGTAAGATGTGACTAGTTCTTTGAGCCCCGGCACATACCACCCTGAGACACACAGCTGGATGATTGTCAGTCACAGGCCATGCTCTGTTGCTTGGGGGAATGATGTCTGAAACAGTGGCTGTTGCTATGGGTACCAGAATCTCAGGCAATGATAATAGCGGGACAGACTAGGGTGAAATGGTAAAATTGATAACTTCATCTCTGGCTCAAACACGGATTCAAATGAACTGTGCTGAATAATTTACCTGTGGGGGGAATACAATCATTGCTGTATCACAGAAGGAAATTTCTTAATAGACGGTTGTCACCAACAACTTGTACTTCATTTTCTAGAAAAAGGAAATGTATTTTTTCTCCATAAATGTGTGACAAGCAGTACAAAGTACCCTTTAATTTCTCCCAAATCTCTTCTAGTCTAGAAATTTGCTTCACATTTCTGACTTTTATATTTTACTTTATATTTTGTCACTTGTCAGCAATTCTAGTTTGTTTTTACAAGCCCAAGAAATATAACTAATCAATTGTCAGTAGAGGAAAGCCTTATAAGTCATATTGATACATGATATATACATATATTGATACATGATTAATTGCAGGTAAAGCAAATATATCATGCTTCATATTTTAGAATTACATTTTATACAATGTGTGCTTGTGTGTGTGTATGCTGTGTGTCCTTTGAGTACAGTTTCAGAGGTATATTGATAAATTTTTTTCAGAAAACCTGGAGTAAAGAGCCAAGGTCTGGAGAATTATATTAGAAAATATTACTTTAAAAGGTAGAGGAGGAATCTGTACCTGATTCACTAGTGGAAAGGGAGTGGAGTGAGGTATGAGCGGAAGAAATGTGGTAATCACAACATAGTTTTAAAATTCTTGTTTCCACTTAAATTGGTTTAGGTTATGAGTGGTAACAAAAGCCAGAAAAACAGGTTTGAAAAAGACAAGTTTCTCTTCCATAATGGGAAATGACTGAACGCAGCCAGTTCAGGGCTGCTGTGGGACTTCCTGTCACATTTCACTGATTCCAAGAGGCACATTTTTTCCCCTCCCATTTTCGTGTCTTTGAAATAGGGATGTTTAGTATCCTACCATCACTGTTGGCTGTGGTTGCCATTGCCTGAGCATGCACTTCAGACTTAACAGTGGCCTTTATTGACTGAAAAGCCCGAGAGATACTGAGGAAAACTCTTAAGAAATAGTGCCACAGCCGTATGCTTGATGGCGTAAAGGAGACTCTTCAGAGTCTCCCACATGATTCTGAGAACAAAAACTGATTTAAAAAAATGTGTACCTGACGTCCTAATAGTATTTCAAACTCTTCGTTACCCATTTTATTTAGTTTAATAGTACTTCACAGTTTACTTACGTATCCTTTATGTGCATGTAAAAATGACATAATGACAAACATTAATGCCAAAATAAGTGTAAAGAAATCTTTCAGAAGGCTTAATTTGAAAAAAATAAGAAATATATGAGCTAAGATAACATTGTGTCCTAATTTAATGGGTGACCTTGCTTAGTATTTTGTCATATATAAAGTGGTGGTATGTTTTAAAATCATCTTGCTTTGATTGATAACATATGTGCCTCTTCCACTACTAAGAGCTTCCAGCCGAAAGTTATTTCATGGTCCAACATAGCTACTGTAAGTCCAAACATCACATTATTGTTCCAGAACTGATTGGGACATTTGTTAGGAGAAAGGGAAAGATTAGAAATCTAGGTGCAGTGAATGGAAGATTGAACTTTGAGTTAAAAATCGTAGGGGAGGGGTACTGTGATATCTGATATTCAGGAGAACATTGTCACAGGGACATTTCTTTTCAAACCAGAGGGTCCAAGAGAAGGCCCCAGAACAGATTCACTTTACTATGTGTCTTAGTTCAAACTAAGGACATTTTAGTAAACTTTAATTTTAGAATAATTATAAATATGAGATTTATAAATGTAGGTTTCTCTTTTTTAGTTTTTCTTTTTACTTTTTGTGTATGATGTTTGTGTGTGCTCACATGTGCAGGTGTATGTATGTGTGCATGTTCCTGGAGGCCAGAGGTCAATGTCTGATATAATCTTCTGTTGTTTTCCAGTCTCTCTCCCTCTCTCTCTCTCTGTTTATTTGTCTGTTTGTCTGTCTGTCTTCTCTCTCTCTCTCTCTCTCTCTTGATTTTTTGAAACAGGGTATCTCTGTGTAGCTTTGGAGCCTGTCCTGTCCTGGAACTTACTTTGTAGCCCAGGCTGGCCTCAAACTCACAGAGATCTGCCTGTCTCTGCCTCCCAAGTGCTGGGATTAAAGGTGTATGCCGCTACTGCCTGGCTTCTTTCTTTTTAAATATTTTTAATCTTTAAAAAAATATAACTGCATCATTTTTGTTCTTTTCTTTCCTCCCTCCAACTCCTTCCATATACCCCCTTGGTCTCTTTCAA